TGTGACAGTCGTGGAGATCTTTATCCAATTACCACTCCTCCTAGTTTTGCCGATCTCACATCTAGTCTTTGGCATAGTTGTCTTGGTCATCCTAGCGTGTCTGTTTTGAATTCCCTTCATAAAAATAAGTTCATATGTCGTGAACCTTTTAATTCTTCTGTTGTTTGTGACTATTGTATTTTAGGCAAACAGGTTAAATTGCCATTTTTTGATTCTCAAACTACGACTTTGATGCCTTTTGATATTTTACATAGTGATTTATGGACGTCTCCAATTTTAAGTTTTGCTGGTCATAAATATTATGTCTTATTATTAGATGATTTCATAAACTTCTTGTGGACTTTTCCTATTAGCAGAAAATCTCATGTCTTTGAAACATTCAAGTCACTTACTCAACTCATTCAAACTCAATTTTTGCAAAAAGTCAAAACATTTCAATGTGACAGTGGCGGTGAATATAATAATGAGCTTTTTAAAAAATATTGCATTGATCATGGTCTAATTTTTCGTTTCTCTTGTCCCCACACATCCTCACAAAATGAGAAAGCGGAACGCAAAATAAGAACCATTAATAATATGATATGCAATATGCTAGCTCATTCTTCTATTCCCCCTTCGTTTTGGCATCATGCTCTCCACATGGCAACTTATCTGTTAAATATTATTCCCTGTAAAACACCTCATAATCAGTCACCAACACAACTCCTGTATCATCGTGATCCTACCTACACACACCTTCGAGTCTTTGGTTGTCTATGTTTTCCATTATTCTCGTCATCTACCATCCATAAGTTATAACCCGCTCTACTCCGTGTGTCTTCTTGGGTTATCCACTAAATCATAGAGGTTACAAGTTTTTTGATTTGTCTAAAAGAAAATTAATAATTTCAAGGCATGTTATCTTTGATGAAACTCAATTTCCCTTCAACAAGATACACTCCCCTTCACCTCACTCTTATCAATTCCTAGATGATGATGACTTTCACCCCTACCTTATACATCAGTGGCAAAATCAAATTTCCCCACCTGTTGCACATAACCAACCAACACCCACAATCACAATTGACCAGCCACTACCCTCAATAAACCAACAATCATCATCTCCTACCTCTTCGATCAACAAACCCATTACAAGTAACTCTCCATCAACACCACCAAGTCAACCGCATCCACCTCAAGCTACACGAACCATCACCACCAGAAGCATGAAAGGCATTTTCAAACCCCGCACGATATTTAACTTATCAATCTCTCACTCTGACCACACCATCTCTCCCATACCTAAAAACCCCAAACTAGCCTTATCAAACCCGAATTGGAAATCCGCAATGCAATTTGAATTTGATGCTCTTATTCGAAATAAGACGTGGGATTTAGTCCCTCGTCCTTGTGATGCTAATCTTATTCGATGTATGTGGATTTTTAGACATAAGAAAAATTCGGATGGCTTCTTTGAGCGTTATAAGGCTCGTCTTGTTGGTGATGGCAGGTCACAGGTTGCAGGTGTGGATTGTGACGAGACTTTCAGCCCCGTGGTGAAACCCGCTGCCATTCGAACAGTGCTTACCATTGCTCTCTCCAAATCTTGGCCCATTCATCAACTGGATGTCTATAATGCTTTTTTACATGGTGATATTCAGGAGACTGTTTACATGCATCAGCCATTGGGTTTCCGCGACCTCCGTCATCCAGATTATGTATGTCAGTTGAAGAAGTCATTGTACAGTCTCAAGCAAACGCCTAGGACATGGTACCAACGTTTTGCTGACTATGTCGCCACCATTGGTTTTCGCCATAGCACATCAGACCACTCCCTCTTCATATATCGCCAAGGTTTAGACATGGCCTACATTCTACTGTATGTAAACGACATCATCCTTATCACCTCCACTCAGGTCCTCCGCAAATCAATTATGTCACTCTTAGCATCTGAGTTCGCAATGAAGGATTTGGGTCCTCTTAGAGGACATTGCATAACCAGACTCACCCTACTTTTTCCAACACAAGGGTTTTGTAAATACTCTCTCTTTGGTTTTTTTGCAGTTAAAGTGAGACTAATTCAAAAGTGCATCTTCAGACTCTCCCTGCATACCAAACAGAACATGTTTTATGATGTTTTATGTTGGGACAATATGTTGAATACACATTACATATGTATCAATTGGTGCCAACAATACACACAAAAAAATGATTCAACATCTAAGTACATAGTTAGATAAAAACTCAAAAGCATCAAAACATTTGTCACCGCCTAAATCTATTTATATGGATGGTGTCGCCATTTCCTTTTCCTTATTTGATTCTCTTTCAATATCGTTCAACTTGGTGAACTCTTCCATCCTTTTCGAAAAGTGATTCAAACAAGTTTCAACCTCTTTTGTGAAATGTGTCGCCCACTTCTATGATGTCTTTCGTATAGGACAATTTGATTTCAAATAAACTAGAACAAAATATTGTGTTTTTGAAAGTCACCCAATACACATGATGCGTCCGAACGAATTTTGAGGTGACCTACTCCAAAGTGGAACAAATATTTTCGAGAAACTATATCTTGTCAGATCAATATACACCACATTATAAGCATTTGTTATAAGATGACTCATTAGAAAAACACATGCATTTTCTACCAGTGTCAGACGACTAACACAAGGAACAAGAGTATCATAAACTGCATCGAAATGTTCTTTTTTTTCGTATAGCGATGTGTATGATTCTCTATGCGCCTTCAACTCTTAGAGAAGTTGTTGGCAGACAAATGTGTGGTTCTCCTTTCCAAACTTCTACAAAAATCACATTTACTATTTATTAAACAATTGCATATTCAACTTTGTTAATTATAATATTATCAAAGTGTCTAGCTTCTTTGATCCAAACACAGATAATTTTCTCCTTCATTTAGTATAGAATTGCAATCTCAACATATTTTAAAAAATATGAATATCTCGTACAAACTCTCATAAAATGCATGACAAATTTTACTTACGGAAGAATTTTATAACATCATTTCAAGCCTCCATTATCTAATTAACTTACTGAATAATGAGAGAAGTTCTAAAAATAAAAAGAAGAATAACTAAAAAAATAAGAAATTATATCAGTTCTATATGTCAATCATAAATGATATATAAAGAATAAATGGAGAATATTCACTTATATCAATCCTATTAAATAAAAAATATTCAGCTAATAAATAGAGAATATTCATCAAAAACTCAACACATGAGAGTTGTTAAGATAAGGAGAAATAAGTTTTGTTCTAGCAATTCCTAAAATAAAAATAAAATAAAGAGACATCCATCAAATTAGTTTTGCACAATTATGGGAGTTCAAGGATTCAAAAGTGATTTTCAGAAATAAACCAAAATTAAAATTAAATTAATTTTGTTTTAAAAAAAAAATGTGCTTGACATATTATTTGATATTTCTGAGAAAATTAGTACTAGCAATTATATTTTTTTAATAAGAAAATCATGTGAAATTTTATGGATTCGAACACTCACATCTTAAAATCATTGGAGTTATAGAATAAAGTTTCTTCAAACTCTTTACAAACATTAATTTAAAACATTATTCCTGAGAATTTAATTCTTAAACTTGAAACAAACACCCACTAGACTTAGGCAAAGCCATCACAGGTAGCAGGGCGTATCCCAAAGTATACTACAGAAATCAGGATATCTTCAAGCCAACATTTTGCAAAGCATAACAGGCATTCCAGAGTATCTCAACTATATTTATCCTTTAGCCAATTATTTTCATCCTACTAGTACTCTATTTATAGTAACCAATGATGAAATATATTAGCTCTTAAAAGAAACATACAAATACTTCTATGCAAGTCGATTTATGGCCATGCAATTCCATCTTCTATTCTGTACAGAATACTCCTCATAAAATCAAAAATTGTCTACTGCTGACTGCATATACATGATATGAGATATCAACTGGTACCTATCTGGTTTGAAATGTAAATATTTGTGCTATAATCCTATATATCTATTTCATAATGTAAAACTATGGTAACTTCTTCTCTTCCACCTATGCAATCCATGAGATATTGCAAAAGGCCATGGGGGCATTACTTAAGATTTGCTTGAGCTCTTCAGATTTTAGAACTTCATGCTGTTGTTTGTTTGGTACAAGCTCAGCTTTCGGGTGATTTGCTTTTTTCAATTAGAAATTTGTATTTCTAATTACTCCTCTGATTGAAACATAGTATACGTTGAATCAGTCTCTGTCTTTGTAACCTGCACAATAATACAAATGTTCTTGGTAAGGTGAACCTACAAAAATGTGATAAATAGTATAACTGATGATTTTGAATTGAACAATTATTGCATTCATTACACACTGATCCAAGAACCTGTTTGGATGGACTTCTTCAGAAGTACTTTAAAAACTGAAATATCAAAAGAAGTTCTCTCATATAACTTTTCCAATAGCTCTCATAAACTTTTATGGAATTATTTCACAAGGCAAGAACCATAACTTAACTTAGAAGCTCCAATAAGTTAAACTAATGAAAATTGGACCTAAATAAATTTCTACTTAGTAACACTATGTGGTTGGTCTAATGGCAAAGGAAAACATATTTACATAAACATGTAATCACCAGATTCATAAAAACAAAAGTTAAAACTATATCATGGTAATACTAAAAATAATATGAATACACAAACACTCATGCAGATTAGAGTCTTGCTAAAAAATGTTAACAATCAAGAGATAGCATGTATTATGAAAAGTACAACCCTTGTCACATTGGAAACTTTAAAATGCTTTACTTTTTCATTAACTACTTTCAATTTTTGAATCCTTAACAAGTGCCCAAATTTGTAACTTGTAAGCATATTCCTTATTTTATTTATAAGGAGCTTCCTTTCCAACTCAATGTATTTTTTTGTTTTGCATATCAACAGTGCATGATTTATAGTGAAGATCATTTTTACTAAAGAAAAGACTTCTATAAGTAATTCACAACATTGTCAAATGAGATTTCATCCTAATCTTCTTCCTTGTAAATAAAGTAAAACACTTTAGTCGTTATACCAACCTCAGCTGTACGAGAAAGGCCAGCAGGAAGCATAGGAATGAGAGATGTCCAAAGAACAGGATCTACCAGTGGATCAACAGTGTTGTAGGCTGTCAAAAGTGGTGCAGACAAGAATGGCATCAATGGATAAACATTTCTTTGAAGAGACAGCGCCCCACTCATTCCCATTGCAATGTCAAGTCGATCATTGCCACTATCGTGATTAGAGAGTTTCTCTACCGCCTTCCCACGATCCAACTCATTGACTATATTTTTGTTTTCATTCTCATCATTATCAATGCTATTTTCTTGTCTTTTTGCCACTTTCTCTTGCATGCTTTTGTAAGCAGCAGACTGCGACAATATACTTAAGGCAGAGATCGAAGAACTTTTATGCTTTTTCTCATTGTGGAGCCGACCCAACTCTGGCATCTTGTATGGTTCTGTTGGTTGACCTTTCTGTTCCAATGTTTTCAGTTCACTGTAAATATCTCCGGCAAAACCATGTTTTGTTCCAGCATCAGGTTGTCGGTTCTTATTAGATCCCCACCATTTTATGTGATTTGTTAAATCAAACTTTCTTTCTATGCAGAAACCACTAACATATTCACTTTCTGCAGCTGAATCATCCCCTGCGCCTTCAATTTTTGTAAAAAGGTAAGATAGATGGTAGTGATCTTGCGGATAAAACAGCCAAAGGGGCGACAAATGAATTGGTTCATATAACTTCATTCAATCAAAGAATAGCTTGAAGTTAAAATTTGATAACTACGTACCATAATTCATACTATTGAAGTAATCCGATCCAGTCATTCGGCCATATGATGGATCCCATCGACTAATTTTTTATAATACCACATGCAAAATGAAATGCACAGTTAACGTTAGCATCAAATCCATGACAAAATCTATAAATGGGATGACAGCTACACCAGATCAGGAAGAATTGTAGCTCCATTGTAAAGCCAAGAAAGATAAAGTCATCCTGGTCAATGTTACATACATACCCACACAGACATGGCTGTGAATGTAAATAAAAAAGAATTTAATTAACAGACAATTCCTGTTAAAACAAGTTGTTGGATGCGCACCTGGAGAGTCCACGATATTTTGCTAGTCCTCGTGAAAAACCACTGCTCTTCCTGTATCAAGTATATCATGTAAGCAGCAGTAGGATACAAGTAAATATTTTTGTGAGAGATATACACACCGACGCAAAGACGCAAGGTATTCTTCTCTTGAAACGTTCTGCATTTCTTCGAGATCTCTTGTATAATCAGTCACCTGCAGTACACATCAAACTTGCTATAAAAATTACTCTATTTACCAGAAGTGGTTAGATACCGTCCTTTTCCTTTCAAAGAGACCACCGAATTTTATAGTGTCAAATATCTAATTTTAGTTACCAACAAAACATTTCCATCTTATGATTCTTAACCAATTGACACGGCGGGGAAAGAAAGCATCATAATCATATATACTAACGCATGTACAAAATTGGAGGTAACTTTAGAGTCACAAACTCCTAGAGCCACTAGAACATGAATACGTAAAAGACGAATTCTAGTAATTTCCACAAAAATCTTTTGAAGAAAAAGACAAAGCAGGAAATGAGTGGCCACCATGTTCATCAAGCAATAGGAGAACACAAATAAAAAAACCAGATGGCATTTCTGAATTAAAACAACAAATCCAAACTATTTCCTAAATAAGCACAAAACCATGCAAGCAATACACTTACTGGGAAATTAATTAGAGTCCCAGGACCCCAATATTTCAGAGCAGCAAGGTCATACGCTCTAGCCGCTGCTTCCTCATCATCATACGCCCCTATCAAAAACCCATCATCAACAAACATCATTTCATCACCAATGATAACAACACATCAGAAAATTCAACAAAAAAATAAAAAGCAGAACAAGGCAGCATCACATTGAAAACTCACCCAAGTAAACTGGCATCACCACAAACACGAATTACCGTCCAATCAATCCATGCACATCACAAAAATAATAAACGTAAGCAATTTAATCATCAAACTAAAACCTTGAACCTGACTTAAGTTCAACAACCCAAACCTTGCTTTCCTTTCTTATTCTGATTTTGGTTCCATGTACTTTTATCCCAAAGATGCGCTTCATAACGACCAGTCCATCTATGCCTAATACATAATTCACAAAATTCAATCAAACAAAGCTAAGAGCCATTAACAATTACCCTTATTGGAAAAAAAAAAAACTTCTATAACTAATCGAAATTAACACCAACTTTTAAGTTATGATCATTAACAAGTAGCTAATCCAAACTGAATCTAAATCTAACAAACACTTTAAACATAACAAGATACTAGAAAATGAGTTAGTTGAAGAGTAGCTAACTAGCTACCTAGTGACACCACGGTAGATGGAGCTACGTTTACCGGCGGCACACGGAGGCATTTTACTGATTCGTTCTTTGGCAGTACAACCTCTCTCTTTCTTCGCTTTCTTCAATCCTCTGTACAGTAAAAGCTGATCGTTCGCCGCCGCCAGAGCTTCTGAGGTCTCCGCGGACTTTCCGGGATCGGAGGAAGACGAAGCCATCGAGAAACCAAACCCTAATCCTAGAGAGAGAGTGATAGTTCCGTTACTTCAGTTCAGTGTGTTTATAATTTAGAAAGATGCGTGTTGTTTTTTTTTTTTTTTTTGCAGTGAGTGGAGTGAGAGATAACTAGAAGGAAGAAGAAGGAGAAGGTGTCTGGTTACTTACGGAAATGTCCTTTTTTGTTTTTGAAATGACGGATTGGTCAATTGGATTAATTGAGGTTTTTGGCGTATGTAACGGCTAGGACAATGTGAGGGGTATTAATGTCATTCGATACGTTTTATTATTGTTATGAGAGAATCATGCATGTTATTGTTCGTGTCACTTGTCTGCTGTTGGCTCCATTTTTTTTTTCCATATCAAACCCACACAGCCACTACATGTCACCTTAATCAGTAAATAATTAACATTTTGTTCGAAAAGTTTTAGAATTGGACTATAATTTCAAATTTTTAGCCTTTTCTTTTATTTGAGTATCAATTTATTAAATTTATTTAGTCTCTGTTATTAGTATTAGTTTAAACTAGAGGTGGCAATTGAATTCATTAAGACAAAATTCATCCAATTTATCCATCAAAAAATTCATCTAATTCGTCCATTATATAAAAAATAAGTTAATGGATTGGATTAAATTCATCCATTTATATGCATGGATGGATTCAATCCATCCAACATATTTTAGAATTATTTTTATTTTTGTTAGATTTATTTTTTTAAAAATAATTAAAAAATTATATATTTTTTTCCAAAAATTTTTTTTTTTTCAGAAGAAAAAAAAAATCGACTATTTTTTTTTGGAAAAAAAAAGCAATTTTTTTTTTCCGAAAAAAATTAGTTTTTTTTTCAGAATAAAAAATTGATTTGTTTTTCGAAAAAAAATAAAATTTTTTCTCGAAAAAAAAAACCGACTTTTTTTTTTCAGAATAAAAAACTGATTTTTTTTCAAAAAAAATTAAATTTTTTCTCGAAAAAAAACTGATTTTTTTTTTAAAAATCGTTTTTTTTTTCAGAATAAAAAACTGATTTGTTTTTCGAAAAAAAATAAAATTTTTTCTCGAAAAAAAACCGACTTTTTTTTTAGAAAAAAAAATCGATATTTTTCAAAAATTAAAATATCATTTTTTTTTTTGAAAATACAAAAAATAAAATTTTCAAAAATAAAATAAAAAATATATATTTATTTTTACGAAATAAAAAAAAAGTTAGATGGATGGATATCAATCCATTAAAAATATGTCAATGGATGAATTGGATGAATTTTATTCTTAATGGATAGATTGGATTGGATAATTTTAAGAAAATTTTAGTGGATTGTTAATAGAATAATGGATTATTTTAATGCATCCATTAACAATCCAATCCATATCCATCCAATCATCCATTTTGTCACCTCTAGTTTAAACCAATTTAAAACAAAAATTTAGTTGATGTCTTTGAATAATTATTTAAAAGAAAAGAAAATGATGATTAACATTGTAAAATTGTCAATAAACATACATCATGTCACTGTCGAGTGATTTTGAAAATTTTAAATTAATTATATAATATAATAAAATAATATATTTTTATTGAATGAAAGTGTAATACATTTTTACACTGCATAACAATTAAATTTATATTTAAAATACCTGTCGAGTGATTTTGAAAATTTTAAATTAATTATATAATATAATAAAATAATATATTTTTATTGAATGAAAGTGTAATACATTTTTACACTGCATAACAATTAAATTTATATTTAAAAAACAATTATTTTAAAATGATTTAATTTAATATAATTTATTTTAGATTAAATTTAACAAAAATAATTTAATTTAATTTTAAATTATAATCAATTTATTAATAATATTTAGTTTTGAAAAAAATTAAAATAATTATTAAAAAAAAAAGAATAGAAAGCCTACCTACGAAAAACATATTATAAGAGAAAATGTCAAGCAACCAACTAACAAAACAAAAACTTCATAAAAGTGAATAATCTAAACACAAAATAAATGGGAGCACCGCTAATTCAAATCAAATCAATTGTCTTTTCTTTTTTTTTTGTCTTTTTTCCACCACCATGACATTATTTTTATTTGATGAAATAAGTGATTCTTTGACAATTTAGAATCATTAAATAAACAATTATTTCTCTTATTTTAAAAACCCAACAACACACCATCTGATCTAATTTGACGAATTAGAATGTGGTCTGTAACACTTTTACAGCAGCAACGGTCCGCAAGAGTGGATGGAGAGGGGGGTACCTGTAGACACTCTGATGTTCAAGTAAGTTCAGGCAAAGTGATAGCAAGTAAAGTAAGGAATATAATTGAATACCTGACCATCCTTCAGAGGAGGGTATTTATAGAGAGTCCTTAGTGTTGGACCAACGGTCTCTATTATGGGCTGAGTGATCAGACCCATAATGAATGATTGTCATAATTCCTACGTGGAGGTAGGGATGAGCAACTCGTGCTCATCATCCCGGGTCAACTGCCCCGCCTTCTCCGAAAAGTGGAAGACTTGTCCGCTATGAAGGGCATAACGTTTTTGCGAGATGCGCGGGATTAGTTGGCCATGTGTCCTCAGGTGAGAAGCACGTGGGGAATGTGCTCTCCAACGGCTATAATGGATTGGGCATTTGCGTTGGGCCTTCTTCGACGCGGAGCTGGACTTGGTTGTGCCCGACGGTGGGCCAATCTTAGACCCAATACAGAACAGGAGCCCCTCAAGTCGTTGCTCAAAGGTAGAGGAGTAATGACTTAGAGTCAGCTCGTATGTCGAAGAGGGACAAAGAAAATTTGTGTGAGGAGAGCGTTTATTCGGATTTGTGGCTGCGAGCTCGCGGAGCTACGCTTGCGAGGGAGCGTGAAAGTTATCCCTCGTGCTCGACAACGCGAGCTTGTTAAAAGTTTTTCGTCGAGTTTCTGCTCGCGAGGATGCTAAGCAGTCGCTTGTGCTTTACAACATGATCCTACTTCGAGTTTATCACCGAGCTCATGTGCTCGCAAGGATGCCAAAGTTGTTGTCTATGCTCGACAACGTAACTTGTTTCAAGCATTTCTCCGAGGACATGCTCATGAAGGGATGTGGAAAGTTGAACCTCGTGCTCGACGTCTTGGAATCTAGAACGTTGATAGGACTTGGAACGACGAACCTCGAGCCACGTGTAATAGTTATTTAATGCACAATGATGACTTATGCATAGGGGGTTTCAAGAACCAGAGAGCGTTACGCTTCCCCATGCCGTGAGATTGCTTATAAATAGGAAGTTGTGGGGTCATTTGGTACACTCGCTTCATTTTCAGAGTTCGCTTCTCTCTTCTAATCGTTGGTCACGCTGATGTCAACACCCTTTCCACCTTTGTAGATTTCAAGAATCTTCTTCAATCAAGTAAGTCTCTGTTACTCTTCCTGATTTACATGGCTATTGCTAGCTTTAGGAAGGGGATTTTGTTGCTTTTTTTGTCCTTTAGGGTCCAGTTCCGATGAATGTTGGTGTTTAGTGGTGGTTCTGTCATCCTCAAGCGTTGACTGTCGTCGTACTTTGAGTAGGAAACTGGCAATTCGTATGTTTCCTGGTGACGCTCATGAACTTCACGATGAAACTCATGAAGTTTTCGATGAAGCTCAGGAAGTTTCTGATGAAACTCGTGAACTTTCCGATGAAACTCATGAAGCTTTTATTGGGATTTGTGTCGAGGAGATTCCCTCCCGTGAAGGTACAGAAACTTTCTGAAGAAGCCTCGTGTCGAGAAGACACTTCCCCGCGAAGATTTTGATGAAGAATCTTAGTGTCGGGGAGCATATCCTCGCGATTTTCGTACTTTCCATTTAAACAAAGGGCTTATGGTCGAGACGATGTCCTCGCGTCACTCCTCGCTATTTCACTTGATTTGCAGTGGAAGGGTGGGTTTGATTGGATTGTCGAATTCACTTCTTTCCTTTGCTTTTCAGGTTATAATGACTCGTCATGCCGAGGAACCCTACCCAGTCGACACCATCACTGATCCCCTCTTATATTGGGTCGGGCCAGAACCCCGTGGAATCACTTTGTGTTTTACCGAAGACATGTCAGATGCCTTCACCTTCGTCGAGGAACTGGAGCACCCCGAGGCTCCGAAGTGTTGAGAGGTATACAAACCTAAAAAGACGGAGCGGATTTGCTCGACCTTCAAGGGGGACTGTTTCACGATGTACGAGTTTGCCTTTAAGGAGTTAGGGTTGTGTCTGCCGTTCAACGACCTTCAGATGGGGACCTTTGATCGGATGAAGTTGGCACCCTCTCAGTTGCATTCAAATGCGATCCCATTCATCCAGGCGTTCGAGATCATATGTCGGCATCTCGAGGTCGGGCCCACCCTTTCCTTGTTCTTTTGTTGTTTCCACCTGCAAAGACAATCCGTAAATGGGAAACAGTTGGATGTCCCTCAAGCAGCCGAGGAAGTTATTCAATACGAACATAGACTTTGTTTGTACCTTTAAGGATAGTTACTTTCTAATTAGACATGTGTCGGAGACAGCCCTCAACTCCGTGTTCGAGCGTGTGGTGTCGCTCGAGGAAGATGGAGTGTATGTCGTGATGAAAATGGGGAGGAGGTGATGCAGTTGGAGGTGAAGTTTACCCTTTACTGGGAGAGGTCATATTTTGACAAGGGAATAAACTACTATCTCACCAAGTCCAGTGAGCTAGATACTGAGGGTCAATCTGCCTACAACAAGATTGTGACGTTCGTAGACAGCTTCATGCCCAGTTGTGTGTGACCAAGAATGGAAGCGCTATCATCGACGAGAACGACCAGCCTATTTACAAGGCCCGACTCATCAATACCAAGGACCTTCTCTAATGTCGTACTGTTGATGAGGCCTTAGCGGTTTTAGGTAGCTATTTTTCTTAACTTGCTAGTGTGATTATTTTTCCTAAGTATGCTAACCCGTGTTCGTATTTGTTGCAGGTAAAATGGCTAATCTTCAAGATCACGTTGTCAAGCTTGTTGCAGCCAAGGCAAGC